TTTTCCTTAGCATTCTGTGGGGTCATGCACATGGAAAAATTGTCTTCCGTGAAAGTTGTGGGGCAGCACAGGAGGTGAGCAGCAGGCAAGGGAGCAAAGCTTCATCTATATTTACAGCTCATCCCCATCACATCAGCCCAAAAGGTTATTAGGCAAATGGGAAGTGCTATGGTGGCTGATGAGCCTGGAGAGATTATTTTGGCGGGGCTATTTCAGGGATTGGGTTACAGTGGGAGGCTGGAGGGCAGGACCAAGGAAATGGCATTTTATATTTCAGTTTGCAGTGGGGCAATGCAATGTTGCTGAAACAGACCATTCTGTTATGAGGAGCTGACTAAAATAGCTTTGAGTCTCAAGTCCACCCTGACGCCAGTGCTTGCTTGAGCCCACATTCACTAACGTTTTTTCATGAGACTGCCAAGCTTTGACTGGGTTATGGAGGAAGCCCTCCTGAATGTGGGGAGCATAACTGTCAGATGCCCTCCAACTCAGTGGCATTCAGTCTTTTAACGTTACTTAAAATTGTTATGAAAAATGGTGCCATTAGCACATTAGGTTGGTATCTAATCTTTTAAAAACTTGAATTGCAAAGGATATAATTTCTGGCCTAATATTTATGTGCTTTAAATGTATTTTCCTTCAAACCTCGGGGCTGCATGTAACTCGGTTTATAGGAAATGTCTGCCGCATGATTTGCAAAAGCGAGGTACTCAAAATCAGCTTAAGTCAGCTTAAGTCAGATTTAAGCTTTTAATGCAAATAAATGCATTAGTCCATATTCAATGGCTAACTAGCCCAACAGCAGTCAGCTGAATGAGTGCACCATCGGCGGATGTGCGGCGCCCGCCAGCACTAAATGACGGATTCTGGCGGCGCTTGGAGCCCCCACGGCCGCGTACACCAGCAGGCACCGCCACACCGTCCCGATACCCACAACGACTCAAGAATCTCCCCGCCTCGTCCTCAAGAGCCACTTCCGGGGGACCTGAGGTTCTGGTTCCGGGGGCACACTGACCTTTCCTCCACCCCCTCTCCCTCTTCAACCGGAAGCACGATCAACACCGTCTCCAACCTCTCCCGGCTATTTCCGGCAGGTGGCTGGCCGGCCCGCGGGGAGGGCGAGGCGGTAGTTTCAACTACAGCCTCGGTCGCAGTGCAGCGGTGGGTCCCCCTCAGAGCGTAGGGTTTGTGGCGTTGTAAACCTCGCTTGCAGGCCGGGCGCGGTGGCTCCGCCTGGAATCCTGAGGCTGGCAGTTCAAGACCAGCCTGGGCAATGAGACCCCCGTCTCTACAAAATTTTTAAAAACCATCTGGGCGTGGTGGGCGGCGCCTGTAGTCCCAGCTATTCGGGAGGCTGAGGCAGGAGGATCGCTTGAGCCCACGAGTTTAGGTTGCAGTGAGCTGTGATGATTCCACTGCACTCCAGCCCGGGCAACAGAGCCAGAGCCTGTCTCCAAAGTAAAACAAAACAAGGCCCGCCTGCGGTGGGCATAAGAACGGGAGGCGTAGTCTTTACATACATTTTCAAGATGGGAATTTCCACACCTCTGAGAATTAACTTTGTTTTAATTATCTAAAAGGTAATGAGCGCCAAGTATGTTTAAGGGGAGATTGGGCTTTAAAAACGTGCTCGTATACGCATGGAAATATCCGGGAAGAACATAAAACTGAGAAAAGGGATTTCCTCTTAAGAGCTTTGGGAGGTTAAGGAAACGTATGTTTTGGTACAGTTTGAGTTTTTTGTTTAACCAAATCCATTTACTTTCATATTAAAAAGCAATATAAATGAGCAAAAAATTAATTTTTAAAAAGTGCTACCAGAAACTTGCCAGTGCTGAAAATAATATTGTCTCTCGTTCAAGTTTTTATGGCTTTTTAAATTACACCTCCATCTCCAGAGGCAAATTTATGATATTTGGGATGCATACCACCCCATTATCTGGCTCTAGAAACAAATTTTGTGTATTTTATGCATCACTCTAGTGAGAATATAGGTTAAGGTATATATTTAATTCGTGGCTCTATTTTACATCCCAATTTTTCTTAACTTTCATTCCCACTTCAAGTTGTTTTTTGAAATATCCTGTTTGTGTATTGCTGTAAGTCATTTTGGGTACAAGGGAGGTTATAAGTCTACATGTGAAATAAAGAGTATTATTTTTAACAAAAATTTAACAGGGCTATGAATATAATTAGACTTACTTTCTTGGGCCCTGCAGTGCTTGGGATGTGGTTTGTCCCTGACAAACTAATGTTGAAATTTGATCCCCAATGTGGCAGTGTTGGGAGGTGGGCCTAGTGGGAGGCATTAGGGTCATGGGGGAATCACTCACCAATAGATGAATTCCCTCTCACCAGGATGAGTGAGTTCTGTTTTAGCCCTGGAGTCGATTAGTAGAGAAAAAGGAGTCTAGTTTCCTAGGTTTTTCCCTTGATTCCTTCTCTTGCCATGTGATTTTGCACACACCCCGCTACCCTTCTCCTTACCTTTCTGCTTTCCACAATGAGTTGAAGCAGCCTGAGGTCCTCTCAGATGCAGCTGCCTAGTCTTAAACTTTCCAGCCATCAGAATTGTGGGCCAAATAAACCTCTTTTTTAAAAAAAATCTAGCTTAGAATCTAACTCTATTTACAGATAATCAAAAAGGTTTATTTTTTTTTCAGTTTCCATATACTTCTAAATTTTCTAGGAATCCAACTATCATTTAAATCAGGGGAAGCTCATACTTTGTTTTGTTCGGAACATTACCAAAAATTGTTCATTTCAGATAACTCCCTCATCACTGGTAACTACTCAGTAGTAATGGAGTTGCTAAAAACACACTTTGCATGTGTAGCTGTCGCATTCACAGCAGTTCTGTGTACAGGTGCAGGCATCTGACTTCATTATATCTTCTAGGACTGTTGTGCCTGAACATTTACATATTTATTTAAGCATATTATTTTATAACAAAATACTTCCCTTTTATTTCTCCCCTTTTATATTACAGTTAAGGTGTATTTAAGCAGGTTATATTATCTATGAATTTCATTTCAGGGTAGTAAAGGAGAGAGTTATGGTATTTGCTGTAAAAAAGAGAATCAATGATAGGGTTGGAAATCATTGGTTTAGGGGTCCAGAGATCATGAGAAAGCAGAACTTGGAAAGAAGCCCTGGAAACTTTTTTCAACCCCAAACCAGGCCCACTGTACATACACTCTCCTCTCCCCCATAAGGCTGCTGTGCCTTGGCCACAGCAATCAGTGTATGGTCCCTTGCAGCCCATTCCAAGACATTAGGTGCCAGCATCGATTTTCTCAATTGGGATAAAAGCTGCAGCCATAGTAGGAGGTAGGAGACATACTCCTCTGGGATTCACTCAAGGTTCAGATATATCTTATAGATACATAAAAATGTCAAAATTTACAAGAAAAGAAATGACACCTATACATCTTGTGATCTGATCACATGAACCACATTAAAAAGAGGAAGGGAGGGGGAAGGGATGGGGGAGGGAGAGAGAGAACCTTTGGGGAACTATCTATCTATCTATCTATCTATCTATCTATCTATCTATCTATCTATGTATATAATTTTTTTTTTTTTTGAGACAGAGTCTCACTCTGTTTCCCCAGGCTAGAATGCTGTGGCATCATAGCAACCTCAAACTCCTGGGCTCAAGAATCCTGCCTCAGCCTCCTAAGTAGCTGGGACTACAGGCATGCACCACCATGCCCGGCTAATTTTTTCTATATATTTTTAGTTGGCCAATTAATTTCTTTCTATTTTTAGTAGAGACAGCGTCTCGCTCTTGCTCAGGCTGGTTTCGAACTCCTGACCTCAAGCAATCTGCCCACCTCAGGCTCCCAGAGTGCTACGATTACAGGCGTGAGCCACCGTACCTGGCCTACATATTTTTTTTTTTATTATTAAGGAGTCCAATTCTATGACTGTCATGAAGCCCAGGCTGAGTTGACAGCAGTGAGTTCTGGAAGTAAAAATATTCCACTTTGAATTTTCTGGTTATAATCTCTGTCTTCTCTCTTGATCTCATTTGAAAACCCAGACTCATGAAACATCAATCCCTGCTCTTCTATTCCTGGCAAATGGCAAAGCCAACTGTACAGGAGGATTTTTCAGAAAAAATGACTTTGTCTTCCCAGAAGACAAACCCTCCACTTTGCTTTATGAGGCAGAGAACAGCCCCAAAGCATGGACAGGGACAGGCTGGGGACTGTGCAAGTCTCAATGGAGATGTGGGGGAAGGAGGGAAAGAAACTCAGGATGGGATCATCTCCTGTTTAAATTGGTTAGGGGATAGGACAGGAAAACTTTACCCCAAGGTTCAACTCCTGCCAGACCTCAACCCAATACCAATGAAAATAGTTGCAGCTTTATGGCTCACCCTGGGAGTTTTCAAGGTCTCTGCTCTACCAAGGCTTTTGTGGGTAGAAAGCTGAAGCCATCCTTATTCCCCACCTTATTTCTCTCCTTGTTGTTCCATGCCATGGAAGGTAGCAGAACTTTCTGTATGAAAACCTAGGGTTCCAATGCAGAAAATCTTCACAAAGTGACATGAAAAAATGATAGGTAATGGGTCAATGTATGACCAAGCCCTGGGTTGGCATTAGCTTAGCTTCTTCACTCCGCCAACATCAGGATACCCAGTGATGTCTCAGGGGCCTCAGACTGAATAGGGAAATGTTAAGATTCACTTAATAATGGAGCCAAAGGGCAGACAACATTCTTTCCATCACTGAAAATACTTAAGTCTGAACAGTTGGCTACTGGAGTGGGAAGCTGAACTAGAACAATGATTAGATATCTTCTCTTAAAACCAGTCATACAACTCAGACCAGAGAAATCAACTGCAGAGGCAGTCAGTGATTCATGCTGAAGCCAACCCCTTAAATAATTCAATTCCCTGCATGATGGTGTTTCATCCCTGATTGGCCAGTTTCAGCTCATTCACAGGAGAGAGAACTCTAGATAATGAAGCCAAGGAACACATGAGGCTCTGGGCCCAAACAACTGTACACTGTTTATTGAGAACACCCGTAGATGGTGGGAAGGAGGGATCCCTTGTACCGCATCATGGCCACCACTGACTGTGAGCCGGGCCCAGAGACTGGCAGAGCTGTGGGGTGAGCTTTCCATGACTCACTGACCATCTCAGAGGGTGGGAGGAATAAGAGGACCAGGCTCAAGAGCCTGGTACCACGCTGCAAATGGGGACTGATTGGCTTTTGCCTTTCAAAAACAGAGGGCTGGGAGGGGGATTGCCAGAAAAAAATAGAAACTCTTAAGATTTAAAAAAAAAAAAAAAAATAGTCCTCCTGTACATAACAAGACAGCATCAACTCTCCAGGGCCCGAGACTGGCAGCAGGGGCCGAAGGCAGGGAGGCAAAAAGCCTCCAGGGAAGATCAGTGGTTGGGCTGAGACAGTCAGCTGCACATAGTTGGCCAGTCACAAGCACCCAGCAAAACTTCATCCATGCTCTGGCAGGACAGGAAAGCACCCCGCCCCTTGGGAATATACAAATATTTACCATATTCTCTCTGCTTGTTACAAAAACAGTTAAGAAAGCTTACAGCAGATTATTTACAAACAGTATCCTGGGATATTGTGAAGGCAGAGATGGGCTGGCTTGGAGGATGGGATCTGCGGGGGCAGAGCAGCCACAGGGTCCCAGGCTGAGCCCTCTCCCCAGGCTCCAGGCTCTGCAAGGCACTGGACTCTGCTACTGAGAAAGAGGTTTAATTCTTCTTGTGGAGGAACTTCATTTTGTTGCCTGTGGGCCAGAGGGAGCAAGAGTGAGAATATTTCAATGTCATCCCTTGCAACCTCCACCCTTTCTCCTTCTTGCAGCCCTAACCCTCTCAGTGGGAGAGAAGGGATTAGAAAGACTGCATTATAGCTGTGATAGATCTGATCCAGGGTGGTGAAAACACTGGAGAGCTCTAATTAGGGCACTGGTATTAACCACTGTGTGGCTTTGGGTAAGCCACTTAACCTCTTTGGCCTCCATATCCCTTCAAATGGAGTCACTATGATTCTATAATCTAGCTGGCTGAGCACCCTGAAGGGAGTGGAGCTTTGCAGGAAGGGCACTCTGGCACTACTTTTGTAGACCTCGTATGGCCTGGATGGGGAAAGCTCACTGGCTCTAACGGCCCTCATATTCACTCAGGATGGAGTGCACACAGAAAGACCTGCTTTATGGGAGAACTTGTGATTTTTCTTTGTTCTGCAGTTTCATATAAGTACAATAGACCCTCTCTCTGGGTTCTGCATCCATGGATTAAACTAACAGCAGATCAGAAATACTTGGGATTTGCAGCTGTACTGAACATGTACAGACTTTTTTTTGTTGTCATTATTCCCTAAACAATACAGTATAACAACTATTTACATTGTAGTAGGTATTATACGTGATCTAGAGATAACTTAAAGTATACAGGAGAATGTGCATAGGTTGTACACAAATACTACGCCATTTTGTATCAGGGACTTGAGCATCCATGGATTTTGATATCTGGAAGGACCCTGGAACCAAGCCCCCACAGATACAGAGAGACGACTGTACTATGTATGCTAAATGCCCTTGGAGCACTGGCTGGGAACCTTCTATTCACCAAGCGATCCCATCCTGTTCTGTCTACAGCCCCAACATTAACACCTGTTGGCAGTGGGTTAGTGTATTCTGGTACACAGATCCCCAGCCCCTCCCTTCTTGCTGAACATATGTCTCATCAGTAACAAGGCTACTTACCCAAACCTCGGAGAAACTTATTCATTCCACTCTGTTCAGTGTCAGGGAGTTCCTCTAAATACTGCTCTACTCGCTGCTCAAACAGGCCTAGGTGAGAAGAGAAACAGTAACAGGGAAGAGAACAGTTACTGCAGGAAGGGAAGGAGACCATGGGCACAGATGCCACAAAAGGAGAAACCAAGCATCTGAGATTATAATTTGTATCGAAACTCTCTTTAGTGACATCTCACAGGTGTTCACTGCTAATAGCAAAAAGACCCTTGATACCCCACCTCAAAATGCTCATTCCTGAGCTGCACTATGGTGAGGATGCCACCCCTTATTGCAGAGCTGGCATGAGTGGACACTGCTAGCTTCTTCTAGACCACTCTACCATGTTGTCCCAAAAAGGTTTGTTATACTAAATGGACAGCATTAATGGACAGAAGAAATAATAACCTTGAGGTTAGACAGAAAGAACTTGAGAAAAGATAACCACCTGCCTTAAATGGGGACTGCTACCAACCCAAGACAGCTAGCCCAATTCTAAGAGACCTCCTAGCCTCCCTAGGTTCTCAGAACCCCCCAAATTGCTCAGTCTGGTTCTTTTCTCCAAATAAGAAGGACCTCTGAGGGGGAGATGGGCAACCGCCAGCATGCTGCTCTTAGGTAGAGACCAGTGTCACTCTTTAGCCATGTGGCTCCAGCCTGTGCACAGCCTTGTGAAGGCATTTACTGGGACAGAAGGAGAAGAAAGCTCCCTTGGAAGTTTCTAACAGAAGAAAAGGGGTGTTAACAGGCTGGTCCCAGCTGATGCCCAAGAGCTTTGATCACAGCGCCTGGGTATGCAGCCCTGCTGGTGGCAGAAGCGTTAGAGAAGAGAACCCACAGCTCCTAACCCCAAGTTCTTCTGGCCTTACCCTTTGCCCGACACTTCCTTAGCTCCCTGTCTTGGATGAAGCCAGCAAACATCTGAGATTCCATAAAAACCTCAAGAAAACGGCGGATGCTTTTGGAGGCCACAGACTTGCGGAAGGCCTCTCGCTGAAAGGCCCTCTCCCCCTTCTCACTCTGTGTCAGGAAGAGGGAGTAGTGCCCAACAGTCTCCACAAAGAACCGGATAAACACCTCCGACACCAGCCCATTGAGGGTATTACATTCTGGAAGGGAAAAGAAAATCTTTGAGGTTCAGATCAAGAGCCTAACAGACCTTCCCCAATCTCTAGCTGGTGTAGTGTTCCTCTCCCAACAAAACTTCCAGCCAGTACCCCTCCCTTGTTCTTGAAACTGTATCTCTTGTGCTCATGGGCTTCTAGTATAACTATCCCATGAGCTCCTGCAGGTCAGAAACTGTATTCTGAACATGGAAGTTGTCAAATAATTGCTGGATGAATAAAAGTAGAAGTCAGAGACCAGAGCTCCACTTTCCTCACATCCCTCACCCTATGTGATCTTCCTGGCTTCCCAGGAAGAGGAAGTTCCCTCCATCTCCTGCCATGGCTTAAGGGAAGGCCCGAGAAAGAGGAGTAATTAATTTCCTGTCAACAAAAGTCTTTATGGTTATCACATGTCTTTGGGTTTTGCTTCCCAATTCTCCTGGGGTAGAGAAGACACTAGAGGGAGACCAAGGTCCTGTAGCTGGAGCCTCATCAACCACAAAGGGTCTATGCACAGAAACAGGGTCCTGGCCTGTGAGACCCAGACCCAGAGCAGAGCTGATTCTGCCCCAACAAGCCTTCCTCACCATCATCGGAGTCGCTGTCAGAGTCCTGGGAGATCAGTTCATTCTTCCTCTCTAGAGCCTGCTCCAGAGCTGCCTGTAACTTCCTAGGTAACAATGTGTCCTCATCATCCATCTACAAGAGAAGGAAAAATCATGGTGATGATAATCGTAGCCAACAGTGACTGAGCACTTACTTACTGTGTGCTAAGCCCTATTCAAAGAGCTTAAATGTATAATCTTGTTTAATTCTCCCCATAACCCTGATAACTATTATCAACCTCATTTTAAGATGAAGAACTGAGGCAGAGAAAGGTTAAGAAACTTGCCCAAGGTTACATAGATAAAAAGCGGTAGTGCCCACTGTGATTAGGACCAACCAAGGTTCCTACCCCTACATCCCAACTCCCTAATTCCTTGATCTTCAGCTCCAGGTGGGAAGTACAGTTGGCTCAGGGCAAGAAGATGGTGGCCCACCCTGTGTCTCAGGGATGAGGTCAGTCTATCACTCCTGTCTCCACACTCTGGTCCCGTGCCTTGCACCCAGAGTCCTTAGCACAGTGAGTGGCATGTGACAGACAGCACTTTCCCAGAGGAGATGGCCTGGGGTTGTGCTCCTTTGTAGAAAGCCAGGAGGATTTCTATGACTAACAAAGACTTTTTGCAGCCAATGACAGTGATGCGAGCCTGTACGTTACACTGCACTCAATACTTATTTGTGTGACCCCCCAGCAACATTTCAAGGCAAGTGTTATCACCAGTCCTGCTTTACAGATGAGAACACTGCCTCAGAGAAGTTCCGAGGCCTATCCAAGACCACGTGTCTCAAAGGTGGCGGAGCCCAGTGATCAAGTCTTTGGACTTCCGGGCCATGTTTTTCGAATTCACACACTGTCTTCCAGAACCTAACGATGCCAGCTGGAAAGGCAGATCCTGCTGAGGTCAAGGCTCCTAAGATCAGCTTCTCCCCACCCCTGTCTGTTCTGTGAGAGCTCAACCCAGAGAGCTCAACAAGCAGGCTGTGAAGGTTGAGCAGTATTCATGACAGTGGGGGTATTCGGGAGTCTGAGTCTACCAAGGGCATCCTGCCATCCTAGGGCAGGCCAAGGTCCTGCAGCATGCTGCTCTCACCTGTCGGATGAATCGGTCAGATCCCAGATTCACCATCAGCGCCTGGGAAAAGGAGTCATTAGTGACAGTGGTTCAGGATATGAGTCCTGCAATGCCCTCTGCCAGGCCTCCAGACCTCCCAGGTTCCCAGGGTCAGATAACAGAAATAACTCCAGCCAGGGACAGACCTCCCAGGGAGAAAGGATGAGAGCTGGGTAGAGAGGCCCAGAGGTCACAGCTAAGAAGATCCTAGCAGCCTCTCTCCCTTTCCCCTCCCCTCCTCCTCCCTTTCCCCAGCTGGCTCCCCAGGTGGCTCACCTCCTCCACAGGCAACTCCTTCAGTTTGGGGAGGGAGCTGGAGAGCAGGCCAACCAGGAAGGGTGTGGGACAGCAGACGATGTCAATCATGGAGGCCGGGAGGACAGGAATGAAGGTGTGCTGCCAGGAGAAGGGGTAGAGCAAGGCCACCACTGCATGGGAACAGCTGGAGAGGGTACTGATGGGCGGACAGACAGAGAGACAGTACCTGAGCCCAGGCCCAGCACCTTAGAGCTACTGGGGGCTCAGGAAATCCTTGGATAGTAAACCTCCCAATGTAACAAAAATGCCAGTGGGGCTTGGTGGCCTGGGTTGGAGCCTGCAGACTGGTGAAGCCTCCACTTTCCCATTGCTTGGGGCCTCAAGGACACTGGTGCTACCCTGTTTAGGGACTCTGCTTACAAATAACCATAAAGGTATGTAGCAACACTTGAACACACAAAGAACTCACTCACACATAACCAACGGCCACCCAGATGCACAGGTTGACCTGGTGTGGGAGTATCGGCTCAGGCCGGGGAGTACAAAGGGTAGGATGAGCAAGAGTTGATCACAAATCCACAACATGTAAGAGCGAGAAGGGCCTCGGAGGTCATCTTATCAATTCTGCATTTCACAGCTGAGGCCAGCAATACCAAGGGTCAGTTTGGTCAAGTGTCAGAGCTGGGACAAGAGCGGTTTTGCTGCCTCCCAGCCCAGTATTACTTGTACTGCTCCCTCCCTCATGCCCTCCATTCCTTCCTCTTATTAACTGGAAACAGCAGTCTGAGAAGCACTGAGTGCAGAGAAATCAGAAGGCGAGGCAGCTGGCACCATTCTTAGCAGGCCAAAAGGGCCCACTCCCACTATCTATCCCAGGCTGCAGAGCAGGCACAGGTCCCAGTGCGGCCACCCCTCTCACGACCCAGGAGTTCCACAGGGCTGGCTGCCCAAGCTGATGGACAGATGGGAAACTGAAGGACAAGCCCTACAGTGGCAGCTGGAATGTACAGAAGTGAGCACACACTCCCCACATGTTCCAAGGGCTGGTGTGGGGCACCAGGAAACACAGGTGATATGCTGGACTGAAGGACCCCCGTCTGTCAGGAGGAGAGTCAAACTGGGGCCCATATCACAGATGAGGAGACAGAGGCCCAGAGCCAAGCTCATTCCAAGCCTGACTTTCCCTCTGCATCTACTGATTGCACCTGTCAGCCATGAGGGCCCTGTGCTCTACCTTAAGCAGCTTCTTACCCTCTCACACCCACCGGTGAGAGAACATGGGTCCCACCTCTGACAGAAACAAACTCCCTTTGCTAGAAGGACCTCTGGATGTTCACAAGTGCTTGTCCGGCTTGCCTGACTCTCCTGCCACCCTGTGCACACCTAAAATACTGCTGGGTGTCATAGAGACGAAGGTGTCCTGGCCCTGACAGCCTCTGGGATGGCAGCTCCCCACACCCCAAGGAAAGTCATCTGAAACATCTGGAAAAGGCCTGCAGCAGGATCATGGGCCTGATCTCTACAACCCCCTCCAATGGGCCTGGGGTTTGGTGGGCAGAAGGTTTTGTACAACCCTTATGGCCAATGAATGCAGAGCCTGGGTACTCTTCTCACCACCACCCCCACATCAGAACTAGGCGAGAGGGACAAAGAACTTGTAGAAAACGTAAAACATGAGCAGTGGAACATGAGCTGGCTGGACCTACTTCTCCCGTCTCCAGTCAGGGGCAGACTCTGAGTGTACAGTAGAAAGGACATCTTTTCTAAGACCCGAGACTGGTAGAACTTGAATACTGAGCCAGGCCAGAAATAGGACCCTGGTATGTTTCCTCCCAGAATGGTCCTGGAATGTGAGAGGCAGCTGCAAGCACAGGAAACAACAGCTGTATTCATAACCCTATAGGGGCTGGGCTGGGGGTGGTAGCAAAGAGGAGGCTCAGCACTGAGTGAGGGTTGGGTCCTTCAAGAAAGGAAACCTCAGAGTCCAGGCTCTATTAGGAGCCACTAAGGCCAGGCCAGGCCAGCGCACCAGAGCTAGGCAGTCAGGGGCTTTGCTGGCTGGCAATGACCATGGCTGGCAGAATTCGGCAGGTGGGGGCCTCTTGGAGCTGCCATGCCCAGCTACTTCCAGCTGCTGGGCTGGGTCCCTTCATAAGGGCCTGATGGGCCCATGAAACACCTAGAACTACGGGTAACAGAAGCACCAAGGCTGTGATGAGAACAAGTGAGTGATGGCTTTCATTTCTAAACCCTGGCACTCTCTGGAAAAGTCAGTAGTTCTGCTTTTTCTTCCTCCTTCCTTCTGGGCTGAGGGTGGGCCTGGCTCCCTGCCCTGTGAGGGCAATCAGGAGTCCATTTCTCCTGCTTTTCCCAACTACCCTCATACATAGAGAAGGAGACACCCCTGGGATTTGGTGCTCACAAGGGAACAAACCAGAAAGAGGATTTTTCTTACAAATGCTAAGGCACAGAGCAGGTGGCTTAATTAATGTCTAAATGAATAGATTAATTCCACCACTCCAGAGAAACCACTGCTTGGGACGGACTCTTTGGGAAAAAGGATGTAAAACGTATTGCTAAGATTCCATTATCTCCTGCCTGTCTCACCACCAACATATACTTTTAAAAAATTAATTAATTTTTTATAAAGAGGGTCTCACTATGTTGCTCAGGCTGTTCTTGAACTTCTGGCCTCAAGTGATCCTCCTGCCTCAGCCTCCCAAAGTGCTGGGATTAAAGGAGCGAGCCACCGCACCCGGTCACTTTTTTCTTTTTCTTTTTTCCAGCATATTATGGGGGTACAGATTTTAAGGTTTCAATAAATGCCCTTCCCCCTTCCCCCCACAAGTCTGAGTTTCCAGCATGACCATCCCCGAGATGGTGCACATCTCACTCATTATATATGTATAAACCTCAGCTGCCTAGAATGTCTTCCTCCCTAGAACACTTTACATCAAGTGACCATCTCTTCTGCACCCTTCCTATGGCCACAACCAGATCTGCTCAGCACTTCTACCTCTAAAATTCACAAACGCCGTTTCAGACCAAAGCCTGAGATCTATCCAGCTCTTTTCTAGTCCTCCTAAAGTGGCTCCCCCCTCCCTCCCTGGCCCCTTCAGGCCTTGGACACCCTCTTTTCCCAGGCTTGACTGACCCACCTTCCTGCCACCACTCTCCTCCCCACACCCTCAAAGCCCTCACCTCGTCCACCTCCACAACTCCCTGAGCGCCCAGGGCTGCCACTCCACTCAGCTGCCTTCTCCAGGGGACACGTCAGCTGGCCCCTCACTAATGGCTCAGTGCTCCTCCTCATGCTGCCCCCAGTCAGTGCCCCTTCCTCACAGTGGCTCTTCTGAGAGCTCATCACTTTCCTCAAAGTCAGCATCCCACAAAGAGGGCCTCACCTCCCCCTCCAGAAGAAATGCCACAATCAGCTAGAATCTCCTTAGGTTCTTAGCTTTCTCCATATAGATATGTCTGCACCTGCACAAGCTTGGCTACTGTAAAGGAAGAAGCATCCCCCCTCTTCCCTCAGGCTAAGTCCTCCATGGGGTTCTGAGTCCTGCCATCTGTGAGCTCCTGAACTCTGCCCCTCAACTATCCTCTCTTCCTTGGTTTGCTAACTTTTCACCTTTCTATTTGTCTTGATCTCACGGCACACACAGACACACCCATGCTGATAGCACACTCTCTGGTATATGCTAGGTCTCATAAACACTTGTTCAATTAGCGAGTGGGTATGTCTCCCCTCTTCTTCCTTGCCCTGCTGGGCCCTACCTGAGCTTATCTGCCACAAAAATGACCCGGCGCTCCAGCAGCAGTGAGGCAAAGATGCGGATGAGCTGGCGCACGCTGAGGCAGGTAAAAAGGCACTCAAAGTCCACATGCTCCAGCCGGGAGTCCATGGGCCGCCGCAGCTCCAACACCTGCAGGAGAGCAACGGGAAAGTGGTGCCACCCTGGGCTCAACACAAAGCAACTAGAGGCTGGTTTCTCCTTCCCGCCCTCTCTTTCCAAGTGTCTCTAATCTACCCCACTATACAACAAGACCCAGTGTCCCCTCCCCGCAGACCACAGCTCTGCCCCACGGTACTCAGACACCCAGACTGCAGGTGAGAGGGCTGGCTGTGAACCAGAAGGAAGGAGTTGAGGGGCTATACTCCAGATCTCAGTTAGGGAAGAGCTGGCTGCTACAGGGGATAATGAGACGGAGGGAACCACATGGCCTCATCTGTAGGGTCCTTCCCACCCTTTTGCCCATCTCCCCAAAGGAATGGCCCCCATGATGATCAGATCCCACAGTCTATCACTGCTCTCCAGGCCATGGTAAGACGACATCTCCACATCCCAGGACTCCATTCTCAGCCCTCTCTGGAAAGGCAATGCTGGTGTCCTTGTGGCCGTGCCCCTTCCCTTTCCTGCTAGAAGGAGTTTCCTTCCAGAGTCTACATTTGTTCTGCCATTCTGGCCTTTATCTTCATCATCCTAACTCCCATGCCATGCACAAGGAAAACCCAAAAAAAGGGCTGGCCATTCTACAACCCTGCTAGGAAGCAGGACTGTCTTATCAGGGCCAGGCCTAGCTCTCTTCCCTCCAAAGGCCGCTCCCAAGGTCAGTGCCATGGCATGAGCTGTCACTTCTCTGGGGACAGTCACAGGGGTGGAGGGTAGCAGCTGACCCTAGCAGTGAGAGCAAGAGGAACTGCCAACCCTCAGGCCATGCCAAAGCAGCTGTCCCTGGGCCCTGGCCAGTCTCATCCTTGGTCCCCGAGCGTCTGTGTGCAGCAGGAACATGCAGCCCTCCTGAGAACTAGAGTGAGAAACCAGTTATCTCTTATAACACCATGGTATCAGAGCTAATGTTCTGCAACGGTTTTTTACCCTACATCATCTCATTTGTTCCTCAGGCTTCAAGTGAGTGAAGGAGTTCTAACTCCTAGCTCAACGTTCATCCTTCTGGTCCCCAGAGAGACCACAAAAGGTTGCTGTACCAATCTGTTTACACTACCTCTCCTGATGGACAGTGAGCTCCCAGGAGGCCTAGATTAGCACAGTGCTGAGTACTTCCCAAATGCTCAGTGAATGTGGGCTGAAGGAATGCCACACGACAATTGTACCTGCTCCAGTCCCTGTCCCTACCTGAGAAGATATCACAAGCTCCCTGTACACAACCCAATAAGCCCTGCTCTCCAGCACCTGGCCTGCACACTCCCCCTACCCAGGGTCCAGCCCCCCAACCCCAGGACCAGGAGTTCCCACAGGCTGCTCATATGCCCAGGGCCTCTTCATTCATCCCTGTCCTCAAGGAGACCAGGCCCAGTGAGGCTGAATGAGCCTAAACAATCACAGCTTGGGGGTTGTGGAGGGTGGCAAAAATAAAAAAAAAAATTAAATAAAAAAACCAATAACAACAACAAACAATCACAGCTGAGACCGCGTTCAGGACAGATGAAGGGTATAATTAACATCTGACATGGGGTGGGCAGGACAACAAATAATTTGTTTCTCTTCCCTCTCCTAAGAGCCCAACATCAACCTCTTACTCTCAGAGGATAACTTTTTCTACTTGGAGAAAATCTAAGCCATCAGATGAAAATTCAAAATCTACCAACTGCTGCCCTTCCTTCTCTCCTAACAAGAGCCAATCCCTCTGAGGAGCCCAGCACCTGCGCCTTCCCAGGGACAGTCTGATCATTCCCTCTCTCTCCTGCATCACTAACCTCTTCCTCTCACACCCATTCCCACCAGCATGCGAACAACCACCCAACAGACGCTGCCTTGGCTCCACATTTCCTCTCAACCACTGCAGCTTCCCTGTTCCTCTTCACAGCTAAGCCTCTCGCAAAGGTGTCTACACAGCCTGTTTCCTCTTCCTTGCCCCATTAACTCTCAGCTCACTCTATTCTGGCTTTTGGGGCCCTGCTCCGCTTCTGAAACCTGCCCTTATAAGCAACTTGCCAGCCTCATCCTGACCCCTCCTTCCTTCTCCAGGCGCTCCCTTTTCCTCCACTTCCAAGCCGGGCCCTCTCCCGCTGCTCCCTTCTCCAACTTCGGGGCTCCACTAGTGTGGGGCTTCCACATGGTGGCGTTCCTCAGAACTGACCAGGACCCAGGCCTGGGCTCTCTTTTCTTCTCTAGCCACACTCTGTGCTACTCAATATCTTCTCTCAGGTGCCTCAAACTTAATGTGTACAAAATCAAATTCTTCCTCTTCTTCCTCATCACATCCTTCAGGTGCTTCCAGCTCAATATACGGCTCTGTCATCTATCCTGTTGCTCAAGCCAGAAAACTGCGAGTTGGCCTTAAAGTCTCCACAACATTTATTCCCTATTTACAACCAAACACAAAGTGCTACTGATCCTAATTCTATTTTTTTCTTTTATTTTACCTGAGTGGGGAAACCCCAGTGGATTTCAATTCCTTAATTCTAAAATATATCTCACATCCATCTATTTCTCTTCAAGTTTTCTGCCACACTTTAATCCAAGCTGCTGTCATCTCTTGTCTATATTGCTGCAATAGTATCCTAGCTGATCTCCCTGTTTTCACTCCAACCCACTATCTGCACAGCAGCCACAGTGAGCTTTTAAAAACATGCATCAGATCTTACCATAATCCTGCTTTAGATAAAATCCCAAACCCCTAACTTGGACTACCAGCGACACTGTGATTAGGTCCTCACCTGCCAATCCACCCCTGCTCACTACCTTTTCAACCATCTTGGCCCTTTCTCAGTCCCAACCAGCACAGGAACTTCCCAATTTTTGCCTTTGCGTATGCTGTTTCCTCTGCCTGGAGTAATCCCTCACATCTGTACCCTTCTCTTTCAGTCCTCCCCCCCCCACTGCATTTAGTTGCCTCCTACTCACAGCTTAAGTCTCTGGTAAAATGTCACTTTCTCAGAGAAGGCCTTCCCTGGCCCCCTAATCTAAAGCACACCCCTTCTTACACACTCTCATAGGACCCTGTGCTTTCAGCTGGCTCTTAACACATTCAGGAATCATCTATTTATACTCAGAAGTATTTATTTACTATCGGCATCTCCCACTAGACTATGAACTCCACGAGGACAGAGTTGTGTCTCTCTTTCACTTTATGACTCTGCCCTGTGGTCTGCACAATCCCTGATGTGCTATTCAGTAAATATTTAATGAATGAACAAGAGGAGGGCAGGTGGAATGCAATTTAGTCCAAACAGGTCAGGGAAGGCCCCAAGAAGGAGCAGAGAGCTGGGCAACATTTCAAGCCCCACTGTCCATTTTTTCGGTCCCTATGGATGAGGTAGATGAACATGGTTGAGGGAGGGGCCAGTGCTCCGCACCTCCCAGTGACTGTAACCTTGGTGAGCCAGGTCCTACTCCAGTCCCAAACCCAAGCCTGAGAGAAGAAACAACAGAGATCCCTACCTCATTGCCAGCACCTGGCAGGAATGTCTTCACCTTGATGGTCTTCCCTGGGGCTGGGAAGGGTGACTCCATGAGGCTTCTCATGAAGGGATAGACCAATGCAGCAGAGATCCCACGCCGGCGCTCCACCTCATCTAGGACCTGTGCCCACCACCAGCAGTCCAGTGAGAAAGGGTGTCAGGGCGCCGCCCTTCCCACCTCCTGGGCAGAGAAAAGGGCAACCTGGCTTCTGACCAGGCTGGGCCAGAAGCTGGGAGACAGGAGGACTGTCTTGCCAGGATCTGCACACCCTACCCTTCCCGTTTTCCTTGGCACTCTGACTACTCTGTTCCCTAACGGGCTTTGCTTCAGTCCCCAAGAGTGGAGTAGCCAGGCAAAGGAAATATCACCCAAGAGTTGGCTCCCTGGGCACTCCCAGCTTCCCCAAGGCTGCCAGCTCTGCCCATGGCCCAGGGTGGGCTGTGACAGGGCAGACACTGCCAGCACAGGAGCTGGGGAAATGCCAGCCAGCTTGATAGGGAGCCAGGCTTGGGAGTAAGAAGGGAGTCGGAGAGCTTGCCGTTGCACTCTCACTCCATCGCTCAGGCACACAGGTGGTTTTCTCATCTAAGCTGGCTGCAAATACTCCTAGGGGAGCTGTCAGCTGGAGGGAGGGAGGGAAGCAAGCCAGGGCCTCTTACCTTGGAAAACAAGCCGAAGCAGCCAAGGCGGCTGATGACACAGTACACCTCTGGCAACCGGGGCCCTTTCCCACTTGGCTAGGCCAGGATGAGGAGGAGGAGAGAGACACAGACACAGAGAATGCATGATTACCATATCTGGCTCTTTTTCCTCAGGAACTGAAGACTAAAGACTGTCCTTACAGTGGAGGAAGGCTCCAAGCTACTTCTAAACCTCTACCCAGCCAGGTCTTCAAAGGAAAGGCCACCATTCTGCAAGGCAGATCTCAGCTTCTGCTGGGTCTTCCAGCCTGAGGTGCCGGGCTCCTGCCAAGCTCTACAAAGGCCCCACCCTTCCTCCCAGGACACTAGGGGGTGCTGGCAAAGGACAAAGCAGGTTGGCAGAGGCTACCATGTGATTTGTGCATTAACATCCCTAAGGATGGGACCCCAGCAGATGCGACGGTAATGAGAAGGACTCGTGTACATTCTTAGGAGCAAGCCACGTAACTTTCTGCCCCACAGGGGACATTCCACAAAACATCCCTTCTTTTGGTCACTCTTTTCTCCCTTCCTTGATCCACCCCCATTCTAAAAGGGCAAACTGAAAACAGACAAGGGAAGGGAGTTACTATTTATTGAATGCTTACTATATCTGCATCCTAGGCTTGGTACTTTCCACAAAACTTGTGAGAGAGGGAATATTATCCCTGTCTCCCTATCTTTTTTTCTGGAGACAGAGTCTTGCTCTGTCACCCTAGGTAGGGTGCAGTGGTGTCATCATAGCTCACTGCAACCTCAAACTCCTGGGCTCAAGTGATCCTCTTGCCTCAGCCTCCCAAGTAGCTGGGACTACAGGCATGTGCCATGATGCCTACTTTTTCTATTTTTAGTAGAGACGAGGTCTTGCTCTTGCTCAGGCTGCTCCTGAACTCCTGAACTCAAGCAATCCATTCGCCTCGGCCTTCTAGAGTGCTAGGATTACAAACGTGAGCCACTGCACCTGGCCTATCCCCATCTTAAAACTGAGGCAACTGAGTTCAAAAAGATTAAGTCATTGCCTGAGGTCACCAGGTATCTAGAAGTTGTGGAGCCAGAAGTCTGTTTTGGCCTCTGTTTCTGCTGTCTTACCTCTAAAATATGCAGCTTTCTGGTAGGAAGGAAGGGAAAGGGAACAAAGACACAGGAGAGAGGTATGCTATAAAGGAGTAAAGGAGAACAAAGAAAAAATAAATTTAAAAGGTGGGCAGTTAGAGAAGGAGACATGTACTGAGAGCTCCAGGCCTGGAGCCCCCACATGTAGGCCGGGATCCATTCTCTAGCCAAGGGCTGGCAGGGCTCTGTGGCTACATCTGGGCTCGGAGGCCTGGAGTGCCCCACAAGGCCAAGCGGGGAGGAAGCAGAGCAGCAGGTGCTGGCCTCACAATGCGGACTGCTAAGCAAATGCAGATGGGGCTATTTCAGTCTCCAAACCTGCTGGCCACACGTCACACATCTAAAGAGAAGGCAGATCTGTTTTTGTCCATATTAGGTCTGAAACGCACTCCTCTCTCTTTCCCTCTCCCCTGCCTCTCCTAAAGCCCCAAGTGATTAAATCAAGTATGTGGGATTTGGGTTAGAATCATTGTGTCCAATCTGCAGGAATGCCGAGCTAGTGCCAGCCCCCTTGGCAGGGACCCAGCCCAGGCCCTCTCTGAGCACGCCAGGACAAACACGCTCTTCCCTGGGGGCAGAAGGCCCACTGCAGAGGAGTAGCTCTGCTCTGTCTACGCTCCAGCCAAGGCGGCCTGTGGAACGCTGCTCTTTAGGCCCAGGGGAGCCAAGGGCATGCTGGCCTCTGCCTGGCTCTCCACCTGACACCTCTACTGCTTCACATGCCCTTAGTCCCTCACTGGGCATTCTACATCCAAACATCCCTTCTCTGAAGACCATCCTTTGCAGTGACCCCAGAGTACCAGATTGGTGATAAAGGACTTGGAGTCAGTTCTGACTCTGTGTGACCTTGGGCAAGTCATTCTACCTCCAAATCTCAATTTCTTAATTTACGGATCAGGAATAATACCTATGGGCTATTGTGAGAATTTTAAAAAAGACATATTTAAAGCATCCAGCTTGGAACATGACAGGTCCTAACCAAAAGTTTATTCCTTTGGCCCTTCCCTTCCATGCTGCAAGTCCAACCTCTTCTAATAAAGTTCCTTAAGAATAGGCTCTGTGTCAAACTCATCTTTATGTGCCTTCAGCACATGGCCTGACCCTCAATAGAGTCAGTGTTTTGGATAAGTATTTCCAAGTAAACAAATGATTAAATGAATGGCCTGGAATCCTTCCTTTAGGGTTGCTGGTATACATTACTCCTGCCTAGGATCCCTCCCCCATCTATCCCTAGACTGGTATCTGGTTAGGCCTTCTCCCATTAAGGCCTGGAAACTCAAAAACACTGTCAACAACCCAATGCCCCCAGGGGAGAGTGCAACAGAGCCAGGTCTCCCCCTGGCTCTCTGTGCCTCTACCTCAACCTGTTCCCCAGGACTAATAAGAAGGGAAATGGGGAAGGACTTCTCTCTACAAAATGGCTTATATTTTCAAAACCCAATCCCTTTCTCCTAAATTCCAGGTATCTCTCCCAGAATTCCAGAGAAGGTACTTCTCTGTACCTGCTCAGTCTCCAGACCCCTGGCAGGACTCCTCCCCACTTCATGCTGGCCAGGTTTCAGAGTGAGGAAGGTTGTCCCTCACCCAGTCTGATAAATATACACATACTGCCCAGGGTTGATATGATCATGCAACCAGAGATCAGCTATCAGAGCCCATAATCCCCAAAAAAATGATTGAAAAGAAAATGTGTAGAAAAGCTAAAAAGATATGATAACCCAGTAAAGGTGATGCACTTCCTCCCTTATTGCAGATATCCCAGGACCCAACTGGAAGGACGACTCTGAGCCCTGCTATCCCAGAAGCGCCTCATAGGTGAAAGTGTATGTGGCAGGGGGTGAGGAGTGGCCTCAGGAAGCAGAACATAGGATTTCACACAAGCCAAGTTGTAGAAGGGCACACACACATCCCCACACCCACACTCTGGCCCATCCCCAGCCTACCAGCCCCTGAGAATTGACTAGCCCTACTCACCAATAAGCGCCTGCAATAGCCAAAGCGTCTGCTGCCATCTTCCCCAGTCAGCATGAAAGAAAAGGTCTCACTGGAACAGGGAGAGGTCTGGCATCAGGGAGGTATCAGAGGACCCACGAAACAGCCCCCAAGAACAGGGACTCATGTCAGGGATGAGATGAAGAGCCAGGCTGCTGGAAGAGAGTAGGCTGCGACCAGGGCAGGCCCCACTCAGTTGCCCACTGCCATGGGGTAGAGAAGGCTATGCCCCCTTCCTCCCTCAAGCCAGTCTGGGCCAGGCCTCACCTGCTGTACTCTGAGACAGGGAGCCAGTCCTTGGCATCAGGGAAGCAAAACTGGGGGATAGCCTTGAGCCTTTCCTCTGCCTCCCGCATTTGCTTGGTGGGTCGGTCCAGCTGCAGGGAAGAAGAATATGGGAAGAGGTAACCAGCAGATGATGTAGACCCTGGGGGAGGAGGGAGCTGAGAAGCCGCTCCTTCCCTGAGAGCGCTAATGCCATCCTGCCAACTGGCATGCTTCTTAGCAACCCTTGTCCCACTCCTTATTCTTATAGAGGTCAGAGTGTGAGCTGAGGCATCATTCATTCATTCAGTAAATGTCATCAGAGCACTTTCTATGTGGCATCTGACACTGTGCTGTGTGACGGGGCTATTGATGGGAAACAAAGTGGACAAGATGCCTGACTTTGCACATTCTGGTCAGGACCGTGAGATAATCAACTGCAACATTTTAGAGGGTACAACAAAGGAAATAAGCAGGGTAATGTGACAGAGAGAACTGGACAGGGAGAGGCACAATTAGGGTATCTGGACAGACCTCTTCAAAGATGTACTGCTTAGGCAGAGACTGAGAAATGACAACAAGCTGGCAGCTGTGGGAAAAGGTGTAGAAAGAACATTCCTAGTAGAGGCCATGGCAGAGAGAAAGGAGCCCAGGCTGCTGGCTAGTGACAGCAGAGGAGTGCTAAGTGAGAGGGTATATGCAGAGAAATGGGGAGTGACTACTAGTGAGTACAGTGTTTCTCTTCACGGGGATAAAAAAAATGTTCTAAAATTGATTGTGGTGATGACTCTAGAACTCTGCGAATATACTAAAAACCATTGAATTATATACACTAAGTGGGGGAATTACATGGTATTCAATGGTTTTGGATTCTATTCTAAGCACATTGAGAGGTGCTCTCTCAGCCCTCACTCTCCAAATAAGCACTGGCCCACACCCACCACTGCTGAAGCCCTGTCTTTCCTCCTGGCTGTAAGGGCAGCTATAATGAAAGATCTGTCTTCTTCCTCAGATGGACCAGGCAGACAGAAGATGGTAGAGGAGGGAGATGGCCTCACCTTAGGAAACTGGTAGGAGACTTCAGGGAGGTAGGTGTTTCGGGATGGCTTCTTCTTGAGGGACACCACCACAAAGTACTCAAAAAGCTCCCGCTCCTGCCACTCAAGCAGCTCCAGCTCCAGGGTCCGATAGCTGGGCGCACGCTTCAGCATTGACTGGATGTGGACTAGGCGCTGTGTGTGGGCTGGGGGCAGGTCACACATCAGGGGACAGCAGGCTGGACCCTCACAGGCCTCACATTAGCCTCTCCACCCCTGGCTCAGGCTCCATCTCTGTGGATCACCTCTAAGCACATGAGACTAGTCTGACACTCTCCCCCAGCTAGGTCTGGGGGAGAACTGGTAGGCACGAGATGTCTACACCTGCACAAAGAGTCTGCCCTAACACAGGGGAAGGTGCTGGCCTGGTCCTCCTAGAGCCTCTGGAGGCTGAGCTGGGGCCAGGAGGACTGCCGAGGCCAGGCAAACCCAGGGATGTATCATTGGTACCCACCCCACCCTTTTCCTCTGCCAAAAGGACCAGAAGATAACAACATTCACAAAGTCTTCATCCTTGGGCCCTATTAGAGTCCTTGGACTCGGGCCATTTGTCCCTGTCCCTAGGTCCAAAGTGCACTTGCCCACTTGTCTGGGGGATCCGTGGAGGAAGGGAAAGAGCAAGCTCTCACATACTTTGATCCTCCAGGAAGATCTAGGCAGGGTTTCCCAGTAAAGAACACACAGATATTTATCCAAGGCCCCTGAAATGTGAAGGGGAGGTGGTAGTCTCCTCTCAGGGGACAGGGGAGATAGGTGTGGCCTCAGAGCCTCCAGAGTACCAGTTTGCTTAGTCCATGGCACATTTTTCTTGCCAGAAGAGGTACTTGTGATACTTGTAATCTTTTGAACCCATTTCTGACCCTCCAGATTTATAACATTTACCAGACAAATCTAGCACCCAGTTCCCAGGGACAATGGCTTGGGAAAGTGGGCAGGGTCACCAGCCTTAAAAAGGGAGATACCTGGACTTAATCTTGCAGGGCTGAGCTCACACATATGTAAGAATGGACATAGTTCCCACCCTTTGACCTGGTATCTTGCCTGCCTGTTGCCTCTCCACACCAGGCCAGTTTGGGACACTGGAACCACACACACAGAGGACGGGAAGGCTAATTCCCTGCAGCCGGGGCTGGGAAGGGGTTCTGTGCTCTTGGGGAGCCGGGCCTCACCTTTGAACCTGTCGTCAGAGTCGCTCTCGCTCTCACTATTCTCATCTGGAAAAATAACAGCAGGAGTGCATGCTTTCTCAGCCACTGGCCCAGCAAATGTTCTCTGTGCCCCCTCCCACTCCTCACCAGGGATGGAGCTGTAGCTCATCTGGGCCACTGTGGGCTCAGGGTCAGGCATCTGTGGGCAGGAGTTGATTGGCCTGGGGCCAGAGTCTCCCAGAGCTCAGCTTGCGGGTGCCAATCTATATACAAACCCCTATCCAGGCGTGATCTGAGAGAAGCTGAGGGCCTGAGTTAGAGGCTGAGCCAGCAGAGAGGCCCACAGGCCTGGAACATAAGGGCCCTGCCTCCAGGAGGCCAAGATTTGAAATGGGAAACAGACCACAATGATCAGTGAAGTCTGGCCTTTCCTTTTGCCAGAAGCAGATTCCCACACCCACCTCCCTACTTAGGGCCTCACAGCCCAAAGCCTGAAGGAACCCAACCCAGGGTTTCTCCCCTCTCTGGCTCTCCCTCCTATGTGGCCATTTCTTGGCAGGGCTCTACCCTCCTAGAAGGCAGAACTCCACAACTGGCCCACAAAAGGATAAACTGATGCTTCTCCCGGTTCCTAATGCCCAAGCGCCCCAAACACCTGAACCAGCTCAGGCATCACGGCCTACCTCTCAGTGACGCTGTCTCAATGCTGGACATAGATAGCTTTTTTAACCTCTTCTTTCCCCTCTTGGCATTGTAGATGGAGTTAATTCTTTGGACAAGCTGGGTGAAAAAAGCAGGGAGGGTGAGGTAACCCTAATACCAGCTGCCCCTAATTCCAAAAAGGCCAAGTAGGAGCCCATCCCTGCCCTTATTGGTGCAAGCTTTCTGTACCCCACCCATGGTGCCCAGGACTAGTCTCCCTACTGAACTGATCCCACATGGAGACTCACCAGCCATGCCTGGTAGCTTTCCATCTCCCTAGTCCCTAGAAGTGGTCCCTTGCCCCAAGACAAGGACACTAAACTTAGCTCCCCAGAGGAAGGAACTGTGATCAAACTAGACAGGATGGGAGCTCCTGGGTCCCAAGAGTCACTGAACCAACTGAGACAAAGAGCTTCTCAGATGTAATAACAGGAACAAGGATTCTAGCCTTTCCCCTCTGGGCCATAACCTGGGGCCCTGACAGGAAGAAGCTAAATTCCCAATATACCCAAGCATTGTTTTCAGGCTAAAAATACCATTTGGCTAAATCCTGTAGCTTTGGGCTGGGGGTTTGGGCCTGGCGGTCTATGTGTGAAAATCATTGCTGAAAACTCTTCAATTCCAAGAGGTATAGAAAGGAAGACCCATGGTTGAGTCCTAGGTCCTTCAAAGCCTATATATGTATACATGTGTACAGAGACCCCAAAATTCATATGCCCCACTCACTAATGAGGAGCCTCTAATAGCCTTTCCTTCCTCTAACATCTGAGCATCTAATCAGTTAATACATCTTTATTGATAAGACAATGGAATTAACCATATGAAAAAAAGGCCAGTGTACAGACTCAGAATTTTTCTGAGGGAATTGAGGAAACAGCCCAGATTAGAGAAGGAAGGAAAGAGAAGGGCTGGCCGCCCCCGCCACCCCCCCAAACCTGCCCACTCTTTCTGGGGAGGATACCTTGGGAATGCGGCGGGCCCGGCGGCTGGACAGCAGCTCACTCGTGGTGCTGAGGCTGTCTTCGTTGAGGCTGGAGGGTGAAGACGGCAGGCTCAGCTGAGCCAGCAGCAGCATGTCGTCATGGCTATGCCTCTTGGGTAATCGTGGCAGCCGGTGGCTCTTCCTTTCTGACCAGTTCCCACTGCGCAGGGACTGGGTGCTAGGTTTCAGGGAGAGCTGGCATGGGGAGAAGACATGGGACAGAGGCTCATCACAGATGCCTTGGCCAGTACCCATCTGCTGGGACCTGGACATAGAAGCCATGGCCTGGCATCCCTAGCTCCCACCAGTCTCACCTTGGAATTTCCATCCCTTTTTTAAGACCTTAGCTGCTAATCAGCCAGGTCAGGGCAGGATTAGATATTTGCTTCCCTAAAGAAGGCTTTACTACTTCTGCCAGAAAAAAAGAACAGAGACTAAAAAGCCTGTGTTCTCATCTTACTGCAAAAAAAAATAGGCAAAGTGGGAATTCTGGGGGCTTCTGAGCTTTGGGACAGGATTACTGAGCCTGGATGAAGGAACCAGTCTTGCCCACCATAACCCCTGAGCCAGTCCTAAAAGGCTTCTGCTAGCAGAGGCCACAACCTACATGCCAATCTGCTCTGCTGAATAATACTGGCAGCCTGGCCCTGCTCACTTCTTCCAGGGACGACACAAGGGCTCTGGGCTCTGACCACCAAAGCTGGGCCAGCCAATTGGCTTGTGCACCCATGATGTCCTGGGCTGCTGCCTCCCTCTATGCAGACACCTTGCGGCACAGGGCACCTTCCTCGCAGTAGGTCCTGCTCAGTGCCGAGAAGACAGGCACCTCTGTAGACTCCCACTGCTGTCTGGATCTAGAAGTGCCTCTCCTCACTCTTCAGCAGCTCTTCCTCCTCCACAGCCCCCAATTTCTTCTTCCCACCCAATCAGTCTGGCAATACAAATTTAATGGAAGCCTGTATGAACTGAGCGCATTAGGGTAAATCTTTTATAGAAAGATTTTCTATGAAAATCTCACATTATTCCAAAGCCAGAAGAAATCACTTTTATATTCTCTGGCCAATGTTACCTGGCTGGGTAAGAAAGCCTGTCCATCATCCTGCTTCCTGTCACCCTGGACAAGACTAGCATGAGTATATGAGTCTAAGAGCGTCCTTTGACCTTTCACCTTGTTCTGTCTTCTCTCAGTTCATGCCTCAAAGATTCAATCTCATTCCCTCTGTGACACCTGACTCCAGGTATCACAGACACTTGTCTGGCTTTCCAAATCTGGGTTCTGGGCTTATACTTGTCCCCCTGATGCCAGTACTGAGCTAATTTCTGGCAGAGGTGCAGAATACTAAGACTCTAACCAGGGCCCTATCTTCCTGTTTCCCACAGAAAGGAAGGAGAAATAGTAAGACAGGAGACTGCAGGGGCTTAGTTTTGCAGCTCAGAGCTCAGGTAGTGAGGAAAAGGGTAGGACGCGGCCCTCAGAGACCACCCTAATTGTCTACAGGGGTTTCAACATAGAAATCCCTGTGGGCAGAGCTCTTTGCTGCAGTGATCTCCTTTGCCAAGTACTGGTGAGGGAGAAAGCCTGAGTGGAAGCTGGGCACAAGCCTCGAGAGGACAGCCCCCACTGTGGCCCTCACACTGACCCACGTTGGGGCTGCATTACCTGCGTGGGTGGGTTGTTGTACTTCCTGTCCTGAGGACTCCACATCCTGTGCAAAGAGTCCAAGGAGTTCTCAGACAGTTGCTGGGATTTTCGTCCTGCTCGTCGGCTCTTTAAGTCCACATCCTCATATGGATTCTCCTTAGGCATATCTCCTGCAGAGGAGGAAAAGTTAGAGAAGGGGGAGAAGGGAAGAAGGAAACACACAGATACACACACACACACACACACACAAATAAACAAGCAGAATTCCTGTGAACCAAAGAGAATGGCTTCTGCCTGGCCCCTCCAGCTCATGAGTCATGCAGCTGCCCGTCTGCAGTGGGGAGGCTACAAGCAGATCCTGGCTCCAAGTCCAGAAGCTGAGCCCCCCCACCCCACTCCCTGTTCGGCTCAGCTCAGCCTTGTCTGGTCTCTGCTTTATAAATTCAGGGATTGCACAAGACTGGCTCAGCCACCCCCGTCTGTGCCCAGCCAGAGGACAAAGCCAACACCAGGAGTCTTTCCTTGGCTCCAGTCCCTCTGCTGCTAAAGCCCCAGATACACGGTTCAAGGTAGGAAAGGCTTTCAGAGGTCACTCAGCTGTCCCTTTACCCAACTCTCAGTGGGTCTCCCTGGGGACTCACTTCTAGGGTGGGTACAGAAGAACTCAAAGAACACTAGAGAACAGGGCTTTACCAGGCCTCCCTCCCATCTATTACACTATTTAACAAGTCTTTTAGGGCAGAAATTTTTTATTATTCAGGCCACCCCAGAAACAGAACGATGATTAGTAATAAGTGTTCAGTAATTATTTGTTCAATGAATCTCTCTTACTACTACTGATCTCAGCAAAAAGTGAACTATCATCACTCCCCATTTCAAATAAACTCTCCTACTGTGACACAAGGGAAGTGTGAAAGGCTCGGAAGGAACCTGGGCCAAAGGGTATGGGTGGGGGGAGTTCTTGCTTCTCCAGACTAGTTTTTAAATCCCTGGCAGTGGGTACTGTATTGGCACTACCAGAAAATCCCCGAGAAGTCCAAAACATCACTCCTGCCATCGAAGAATTTTGAGAGAGACCCCTTTCCACGAACTATACCTCCTGCCCCTTCCCCTCTAACTCATACCTAGTGTTTTCTAAAATACAATAATACCATGAGCCAAGTCAGTCCTGGCTCAATCCTGGTAGCAGAATTACAGTGGTGACAAGGTCCATGGGGACTCTGAGTAAGTAAGAGCCCTCTCTGCTCCCCTTTCCCTTGTCCCAGTACCAATATCTGGGACTTGGGACCTAGAAACCACTGGCAGGATGAAGGCTTTGCCAAGGTAAGTAAGCACACACAGTGAGAGCAGGTCTCACTCCAGCATCTCTCTGCTCAGCAGGATTGAGCCTGGGTCACCACTCAGTCCCACACCTGTCCTACAGATGCCTGGTGTCCTTACACCCTGGGGGAGCTCAGATCCCTACTCCTCAGGGAGATAGCAGAAGACGGAGCTATAGGACTAGAAATAAAGGCTGCTGAGAGTGCAAGCTTTCCTGGGCAGGGCACAGAAGAAAAACCAATCCCCATATGCTTACAGATATCTCATCAAAGCTGAGGTTCCCCCAAATCATGGCATCTGCTCATTACCATCAGGAAAAGCCACAATGAATTTAGGAAATGGCTTTACAGAGATTGGGGCAGGGTGGGGGGGCCAGTAAAGAGAGGATTTCAGTCAGAGCTAAATGGACTGCAGTGAGAGCAAAACAGATCTCTGCAAACTTATGAGTCAAAGATGGGTTAAGAAAGGATTTGGGACAGGATTAAGTGATTCCTAACTTCAAGCAGAGTCCCCGGCAATTGAGCAGACCTTTTCCTGTAACACAGTCATGCTATTAAAATGACTTGTCTCCATTCCAGAGCCCTGACTAAGCAAAGCTGGCCCAGCAGCCCTGCCTCAAGAAGCCAAATCAAATCCAGCACCCCCTGAATGTTTTCTCCTGCCTACCCTACTGTGGAGCCCTTGGGGAGGGGTTAGGATGGAATCTCTACTTCTTGGTGCCTCCCTAACATAGATCCTGCAGGGGTCAGGTGGTGAAGGGGATTAAGAATGGAAAAATGCCAGGACACAGTCTTCCTGATCCTATGAAACAAGAGCAGAGCATCTCTGTCCAGACTGGGTCAGGGAGAACATTTATTCCAAGCTCATCCAGTGCAAATTGCCTTGGGCTGGATGACCAGCCAGAGTCCTTATCATCATGCCCCAACCTGTGGGAAGATCTGTCTCAATACCTTTAGATCAGGGTTTCTCTGTGTGTTGACATTTTGGGTTGGATAATTCTTATTGTGGTAGACTGTCCTGTCCATTTATAGAATGTTCAGTGGCAACCCGGGCCTCTATCCACCAAATGACATTAGCATCCTCTCAGTGTAACAACCGAAAATGTCTCCACATTTCGGAGGAGGATACTAACAAATCCTCCTTCCACGGATGGATGGATGGAAGGAAGGGTGGAAGGAAGGAACGCAGGGTGGAAGGGAGGGAAGGAAGAAGAGGTGAAAATGCCCCTTATAATAACCACTGCTTTAGTTAGATCTTTCTAAAGTTCCTAACGACTCCTGAATTCCATGACATGAGTCCCAAGGCTAATTCTCTTTTTCTTATCCTTCCTTCTTTCCCTTCTTCTCCTTACTCCCTGCTTCCTTCCTTCTTTCCCCATAATCACAGCTGTGATACGGACACAAATCCAGCACACCAAGAAAAAGATGTGGGATACTGAGGCCCAGGGAAGTAAGAGATGCATAGTGCTGGTGCATATCAGTGACAACCCGGGGAAACACAGTTACAAACAGCAGGTTCTCAAGGCTAGTACTGCCTCTGGAAACTAGAGTTCAGGAAGGCCTCAAAGGCCTGCTCCTCCTGCCCAGCCCTAATGCCAGCCTTTCTTCTCCAGCAATGTTTAACATCCTCTCTGATGTAACCAAGCCACTAATCACTCCTCCAGGAAATGACTGCTGGCCCCATCCCAAGCCCTGCCTCCACAGTCTCAGCTTGGTTCCTTCACAGTCCTAATTCACCTGCTATATCCAACACCCTAGCCCATCTCTGACGACCCTTTTGGAGCTATCTTACAGTCATCTCCCAGTCATCTCTTCATGATGTGAGGGGGCCCAGGGGATGGGAGACCAGGCAGATCCTGTGTCCTAGAGCCACTAATCTGAACCTACTGAGAACAAATAAAACACCAAAGTAATGGCTCAGAAAAGGGAGAGAAGGCAGGCTTGAGAATAGTGCTCAGAGCTTTCTACAGAGGACACAGCTAAAGAAACCAGAGCTGGAGAAGCTCGAGCTAAGTGGGAGATGCAGCAGGGACATGGATGGGAGACAGAAAGCCTGACAGACTGCATACTTTCACCTGCATTCTAGCCTACACAGCCTCCTCAGGACAGTCCATACTGTCCTTGGAGAGGGCCGGAGAGGCAGGCCCCTCTTCCCTGAAGGCCTGGCCCTGAGTAGCCCTAGCTCATCCAGCCCAGCTGGGGAAGCCAGAGGTCTCACTCTTTCCCAGCTTTGATGAGGAAATAAGGGGCAAGGGCATCACAAAGAATTTCTGCTTTGCACTCCTCTGAAAGGGGATTGCCAGAGCCCAGACTCATCACATTGATCCTGTTGAAGGAAGAATCCAGCCCCACAGGGCCCTCCCCACAGCTCTTTTGGTCATTAACCACATGTACAACTCCTCCTCCCCACCAGCCCCCCCCCAACCCCCCAAACAACTAGAAGAACCAGTTAGGGAAGGGGTGTGCGTATGTGCACAGGAACTGAGAATTTCTCCAGAGTACTAAGCCTCCTGTCTGCAGCTTCCCTCCCAACTCTCTTATGGTTCCAACCAGCTGTTTCTCCTGGTTCTCAGCATTTCCCCCTTTCTTGCACAGCAAAGGGCCAGGCTTAGAGTCCAACTCCTCTGGCAACAGATCAGATTGGGACCTCCAAGGGGCCAACTGTTTACCCACCCTCCAAGCCTGGACATTATTTCCCAACAGCACGGCACCTTTCCCGAGGCTGCACCTCTTGGCTGCTATAACCTCCGTCCTGGTAGGCAAACGAAAGAAGAAGCCAGAGGGAGTAAAGGCTCAAATGGCTTTGTGGTACAGGCTGAATGGCTCTGTCCCCAGCTTGCACCCCACTGAAGTTCCTGGAAACTCTCCCTCAGCCCTAGCTAGCTGATGGGAGTGGGAACCTCTGCAGGAATGCAGCTCAGGCTCCTTGGTCAGGCGCCGAGGCCACTCCACATAACTCCCTAACAAGCTGCTTCCTTGGGTGCATTTTTAAGTGTCAGGCTCAGAATGCAAACATAAGGCTTTGTAGAATAGCAGCATCTTCCAGGGGCAGATGTCAAATTGGACAGGCGAGAAATAACAGCTCCGGGAAGCAGCAAGACAGCAACTTTCTTTTTGAACCCCTTTATTGCAAATTAGCAGGATAAACCTCAGCCTGTTTTAGAGTATGCCACATCAGTTCCCCAGGCATCATGCCTGGTATGGGCAGGAGACCAGAAAACTCCCTAACGCCCCTCGTTCAAGTCCACTGCTCACAGAGAAGACATGTTAGTCTCAGGGCCAGCTGGCCCTCAGCCTTTAACGGACCAGGACTCCAGTGCACTCACTAGTACCCAAGATGGAGATTTAGCATTGGCGTTCTCTAACTCCCCACTCCGACATTACATGCCCAAAACAAGTTCTGTTCGTCCCTGCGGAATTAAGGCAGCACAAGAGCTGAATAATCCAGCTGGAATCAAAATCAACCTTAATCTCCCAGAGCACAGGCTGGGCTCGAGGTGAGTAAGAGCCACTGATTAATCTGAGGCAAAAAGTGAAACTGACATTCAAGGTTCAGCAACAAGAGACCTCCTGAAGCCTCTAGGGAAACTCCAAATTCTTGAACCTGTCTCCAAGGAAGGAGAAAGGGATAAACTGACCAGAATCTAACAGAAAGAGAATATTCTCAACATTCTCCCTTGTATTTCCCTCTTGCTGCCCAAGTCAGGTCCTAGAAATTCACACTGGGCTGCTGTGGGGGATACAAAGGAGACAACATGCCCAGAGCACTCACTGTCCTAAGTACACACTCTGCAAATCAGCTCCCACTTCACAAGGCCAAAGCAAAACCAAACATCCCCTGCCTCTGTACCCTCCCTCTCTTCTCCTTCCCCTACTCTACACTATGGTCCAAACATCCAGGAGCCGGGTGAGCAATTAAGAAAGATGCCTCAACTACACTTTTCCCTGGTACATCCTTACCCCTAGCTCTAGCTCAGCCATCCAAGAGGCAGCCAAGCTGCTCCTATATCCCCTTGCCTCCTCGTGCAGCATCCCACAGTGGAAGAGAATCTTTTCTAATAGGTGAGGAGACAAAGGCCCAGACACACTTGCCTCCCTTCTCTCAAACCTGACCTAAACAGTCCCAGGGAACAGCTCTGTTGCCCAGAACAGTGCCTCCAAAATTCCCCCCACCCCCACCCCCCAACAGTGCCCCAAACAATCCTAAACAGAGCCCTGGATCATGGAACTCTAGACAGGGAGAAATGACTGAAGCAGTCTCTTTCTCTTGTTTCAATTCAGTGGATACAAGAACATACCTCTGCTGGAAATCCCTGGGTAGCACAGAGAGGCTGCCCAAGCCTTGTCAGAGAATAGAGAACAGTGAAGACCACAGTATTGCCAGGGCCTGGTATACTGGAGGGACAGCAGAAAGCTACAGCCCTCTGCCCACTGCAGCAGCCACACTGGGTTCTCCCAGGGCCTTCGGCAGCAGTGACACATTACAGCCTCTGCCAACTAGAGGAAATTGGAATGTACCCTGCAATAGGAGGAGAGTGGGATAGGGCAACAGAGCTGCCCCTTATTGTCCCATCCCCCCCATTAGAGAGGACTTTCTTCCACTGTGGGATGTTGCATGAGGAGGCAAGAAAATGTAGGAGCAAAAAGAAATAAAAAGAAAAAGAAAAGAAAGAAAAAACGTAGGAACAGCTTGGCTGCCTCATGGATGGCTGAGCTAGAGCTAGGGGCAGGGCTGAGGGCTGTACAGGGGGGAAAGCTGGAGTTGGCGCATTTTCCTTAACTGCTCACCTAGCTTCTGGATCTTTGTCTCTGATGCCCACAGTTCTTGACTTCAGCTCTGGATGACCTGTGGGTACAAAGCTGTCTTTTCTCTAGTGGTAAGGTTAAAGGCCTCCCTCCCCTAACTCTTACACTGTTCTAGGGATTTCACTCCCACAGTCTTCCTGCTATGACCCAGTTTTGCATGGCTACATACTACACACTGTGTTCCTGGGAAAGCAGTGTCTCTGTGGGTCTTACGTACAGCTGCTGTCTCCCCAGAAATGCTAGCCCAGCAAGTTGTAAGGAGAAAACTATGAAACTGATGGCTCAGATCAAATGAGGAAATAGATGGCCTTCTTTTCCTAAGATGCCAGTCTTCTGAGAATCTGGAGGGTTCTCTATACTGGGGCCACTTCTCTCTCCAATGTGTTAACTAAGACTATGTTCTCCAGCTGCAAGGTATAAGAAAGAGAGAGAAGATAGGGACAGAGAGAGGGAGTAAGCAAGCACACAAGCACACTGCCTCTCTCCTCTTTACTGACCTACACTGAGACAACTTTATCTGAGCAGAATCAAAGCTCCCCACTAATTAAAGTTTGCCAACACCATGTCCACCCACTCGTTGGAAGATAATTCTCTATGGAGTCTTAGATTTCTGTCCTTCTGAGCAAGAGAAATTGACAGTTTTAGACTATATTTTAAAGGATGTTTATATAGCAAAGAGCCTTGGAAGACAAGAGATAGTGTCTCCCTGCAGGACAGAGGCAGATTTGTTTCCTGACTCGAATGATATGGGTTGGGCGGGTTTGCTAGCAGCCCCCGGAAAGACTGGGGCTTCCTAAGCTTGGGCTCCTCAGCTGCAACACAGACCCTCAGTGTATGCAGCTTCTACCTGGGCCTCCTCCATACCCCATGTGACTTGTGAACACGGGGAAGACATGGGACATGAAGCTCATGCTGCTGCCTGCTGTGCCATAAGTAATAAATTTCTTCCTCTGTGACCCAGGAGTCTTGTGTTTTCAGCCAGGATCTATGCAAGTATGGCTGTGAAACTGGTTAGCTTGTGCTATAGACAATGTCTGTGGTTCCCCCAACACTCAAGTTGAAACTTTATCCCCAATGTGCTGGTATTTGTAGGTGATTTGTAGGTGTAGGGGGGTAATTAGGTCATGAAGGCAGAGCTCTCATAAATGGGATTAATGCCCTGATAAAAGGGACCCCAGAGAACTCCCTCACCCCTTCTGCCATATGAGAACACAGTGAGAAGACAGCCATCTTTGACCAGGAAGCAGGCCCTCACCAGACATTGAATCTGCTGGCATCTCATTTTTATCTCATTTAATCCGAACGATAACCTTATAAAATATTACTACCATTATTATTGTTGCTGCTGTTAATATCATCACATCATCATTTTATAGGAGAAAAACAGAGTCTTTACAAAAGTTAAGTGATTTACCTAAGGACACACAGCTAAAGCCTTCCAAAAATAAAAGAAAGGAATGATGTAGTTTCGCCTTCTTGTAGTCACAAAGGCCCTTTGGATTTCGGTTCATTCGCAGGGCCAGGCTTTAGTCACTTAGCTGCTCTGTCTTTCCTAAGGTGCTTCCTCTGACACTCATTTCCAGCAGGAGATCCAAAAGGTGGGACCATGTCTTCCCACAGTGCATGAGGTGAATCTGAGTGTCTCCTCCTGTTCCTGTTCTTCTAAAGCCCCCAGAGATGACCGACTTCGGCCATTGCTTACCCACAATATCTTCATAGGCATTCTCTTCTAAAGTGCTTTTGGATCCAAATTTGGGTTGGCTCTCAGTACCATTCTCAGTGGGAGAAGAAGGGTACAGGGACTGGAGACTAGATGCATCCTCAAACTCAAAGGATTTTCTGTGGATAACAAGAGTAAGAGTCATTCCAGTCAACCGGATCTCTGCTGCCTTGGCCACAGTGAAGACCAGAGGCCCTCCTCATAAAACTGGCTACTGAGAAGGAAAAGCATTAAGGTGAATCTGAACTTACCATCCAAATGAAGAGACAGATGATCTGAAAGGCCCCAGCCTAAATGCCTGCAACATACTTTATCCCTAGTAACACCAATATTAGGTAAAAACAATTACCCCAGCTTAAAAGCATGCTATATGTCAAACACACCTTTATATGTGTTATCTTATATATCACAATAGTGCTGCCACATATTGTGCCATTGTACGAGTGGGGAGATCAAATTGACAAAGGCAGGACTCTCCCAGGCTGTCTGACTTCAGGGCCTGCACTCTTAACCACTTTGGAGTCCCAGTCCTAGACAACATCCTCCTTGAGAAGTGTGTGCTACCACCAGAGGGATCAAGTACCTGATCGGCCTCTGGAGCCGCACGTCCACACTGCATCCTAGCCAGGACTCCTGCTGCTGCAGTAAGCAGGAGGGAAGGCTGGATGCTGGAAGAGTCCTGCTCAAGGCTGTCAGGGGCTTGGAGAAGCAGTTGGTACTGGGTGGCTTGTTGAAACAGGAAGGGCTGAGCCCTCAAACAAATTATACAACTTCCAAGGTAGAGCTGGGAGGACATTTTGCAGCTAGAAGCTCCATCCGAGATCCAGTGTTCCTTCAGCTAGTAGCCTGCTCCTCTCCATTCCCCAAATAACCTTCCCCTCCTAAGGTGCCTTGAGCCCATAGCATTCTCTACTCGCCTCCTTCATAGGAGAGGTACTGCCTTACCTAAAGCAATGATCGAATCCCTCTTCTCACCCTCTTCTTTCAGGACCCATCAATGAAGTCCTTTCTCTCTTCATTTACTTTACTAGACAACTCCCCAACAGTCCTGTGGTGCAAGTCAAGGGCCAAAAGGGCCTCAAAGACAAGAACTGAATACTCTTTGCATTGGCAGTCTCCTCCCTGGGCCTCTGTGACACATTCCCTCCTAGTTTTCAACCACCTCTCTGGTCATTACTTTTCAGGCTCTTGTGAGGGATTCTCCTTTTCCACTCCCGTTTTCAATGCTGGGGTCTCTCCGAGTTCTGTCTTCAGGACTCTTTTTCTTGCTCTGCATTTTCTAGGGGCCCAATACCCATGAGCCGTCACAATACCTACCACATGTATCACAATGACTCCCAGATTTCTGTCTTTGGCCTACACTTTTTAATTAGTTAAATATACAATGGCTGAGTATGATTCCCAAATTTTGACCCATGGATCTCTACTGGTGTGAGACCAAGTTTTCACCAGCATATATGGTAGAGTCAGCACCTTAGACAGGTAGATCCCAAGACAGCAACTAAGACACAAATCATGTTCAGCCAAATCACCCTTGAAAATCCTCCAGGAGGGTACCACCTGAGGACCAACAGACTGTCTCTCATTAAAACATATAATCAGTTTCTCCCCAGGATTTTTTAACAGATTTCTTTTTGTTTGGTTGAATACCAGAAGAAATATTTGGTTTATATTTTTTTTAATGAAAAGGTATATTAAATATAAGAATCACACCTAGCATACCAGATACAAATTTACCATCTCAAACTGCTGAGGGAAATACGCTCACTCTGGGTGAAGGCAAACTAACAGACTGCACTTTTGGAACGGTTTCTCTTTTTCCAACAACACAAATTTAAGTTTGCTAAGTTAATTCTTATATGAAGTGACTCCACCATATATAGTCTATGTATGTATATATTATACATAGATGTAATGTGTGTGGGAATATGTGTAAAACCTTCAAGCTGATGAATTCTCCCCCCACTCCCTTTTGTCACCTAGTTAACTACTTTTTCCTCCTCTAAATTTAGTCTAGCAACTCTCTCTCTCTCTCTGAAGAACCTTCCCTTACTCCCCAGTCTAATTTGGATGCCGCCCCTCTGGTTCTCTGCAGTGTCCTGCATTGATGCGGGTCATGACGCATGTGACAGTATATACGATTTATCTGTGCACCAGACTGTGAAGTCCTTGAATGGAAGAACCATGTCTTATTTGCCTCTGTGTCCCCTTGACTAGCACAGCAGGCCCCGGGTGGATGTTTACAGAAATGGATGAATAAGGACAAAGCCAACACTCTTGGCAGGCTGTTAAAGAATTAAAGAGCCAGTGAACATTTTGGGGTGGGCCAAAACATGGGATTACCCTTAGCCAAGGATTGTTCTGGCTCAGAGGTCTGAACTTTTGTGCTTTCTTCCTCTCTGCACGTGGCAGGAAAGTTTACACATGAGATGGGAGATGTTGGATGAAACCTGAAGTATGAGAACAGACTGAAAAATCCCCCAAAGTAAAACAAACCTGAATGCCTAGGTTAGATAAGAAATGCAGTAGGGGGTAGAAGGACAGCTCTTCCCAAGGAAGCTGACTCCCAGCCTACTCCAATTCAGAGAAAAAGATGCCTGTCAACTTTCACCAACTCTGGCAGCCCCAGCTCCCAGGTCACTCTGGGGAGATGGCCCTGGTAGTCCAGGGTCAGAAATGCCAGGAATGACCAGGAAACCAATGTGAGCCTTGGAACAGGTCATTCTGGGACATGGCCAAGAAGTAGGTAAAATGTTCTTTCAACTCTTTTTTCCATCAGTCTCCCCTTTCACCATCTAAGAATCCCTGCTTGATAATAGGCCCAGGGTTCCTACGTGGTCAGGAGGCCCTCAGAAGAGAGCAAACTGTGTTAAATTTGCTGACCCTACTATGGTAATGACAAAATGCAGTATTCAGATAATGTTTCACTTGAAATAAATTTCTAATGCTGGCACTCAGGTGGTAGGGAGGCTAAGATCCTACTAGTCCTAAAGGGACTGCCTACTTCACCTAAAAGTAAGGTGGCTCTAACCTCCCCATGGAGGACTGAGGAAACTCCAAAAGGGCTTAGAATACAATCCAGCTCTACCCTAAGGTCAAACCCAGCCAATACCTTCAGTGCACAGCACAGGGAAGAAGTGCTTTCACCCTCACACTTATGTTCAAGTATCACGTAAGAGCAGAACGATCTCAGTTTTCACTACAACTACCATTTAACAATTATTCAGTGCTTCAGAGCTTATAAAGCACTACTGACTATGACCTACAAAACTATCACTTTTGCATCTTCCATTTAAAAGCAAGCCACTGTGCTCAGCTACAAGACACTGGAGCGTTACCTGCTCTGGGACTTGTGGTGACCACGCATGTCCTTCTTGGGTCTCCGGGTAACTGGTGGGGCTGGGGTGGAGGGCAAGGGGGGTGGAGCAGCAGGTGTGGGCGAAGGAGGTAGACCATTGCTTGGCTTACTCTTGGGATTCTTGTCAGCCTCATATTCAAAGGTGCGCTTGGGTTTGGGAACAGGGTTCACAGCGGGATCAGGGGAGCTCTTCGATGGCAGCAGTTGGGAGCTAGGGCTATTTCCAGGGGTCACTGGCTTAGTGGAACCACTGCTTTCCCTCTCCAGGGGTGGGCCCGCCTCCCCGCCAACTCCAGCCACTCCTACTGCCCGGCTGCCAGCACTCAGACCCGCATTCCCGGTCGGCTCCTCCAAGGTGCCCAAGGTTCCAGTCTTTCTTTTCCCTCGGTCTACACTGTAGCAGCTGCTGGGGAGCTGGGGTAGTCCCCGGCCTGGCTGCTCCTTCAAGGCCTGTTCAATTTTCTGGATCCTGCTCAGCACTGCTGAGCTTTCTTTCCTGCTGCCATGCCCCCTGAGGAAGGCACTGGGCTCACTCCGGCCTGGCCGTTTCTCCAGCCGGTAGAGAGAGTCCCGGACAGGGAGTGCCTCTCCCTCCTCCTCGGTCTCAGGGTAGGAACACTCGGAGAAGGTCCTGCTCATCCTCCGGAGGCCCTTGAAATCAAAGGTCTTTTCTGAGCTGCAGGGGGACGGCACCACGCTGGGACAGCCCACACTGGGGCAGCCCTCACTGGCTGCCCACTCACCCCCAGAGCCCTCCCACTTCTCTCCACACATGCTCATCCTGGGCAAGGCCTCTCGGCGACCTTCCCATGCTGAAATCTTCTCCCGGATGCCCTGGCTGTGGGCACGGGTGCCAGTGCGGGTCAGCAAGATGCTCCGTGGGCCAGCCGCTGGCCCCAGGAATGGTGTGCTCTGGGCAAGGGGGAGGCAAGCAGCCACACCCTCTACATCCCGGGCTGCGCCTTGGACATTCTCCTTCTGGTCCTCTCTCTTGCACACTGAAGGGCTTTTGTCCAAATAACCGAAGCTGGTGGTCTTGAGGGGACAGATGGGTGGTGAAGTATCTGGGGAGGGGTCTTGAGGATTCTGGGGTGAAGGATCACGGGGGTGCCAGTCCTTGAGGAGCACCCGGGAGCTGGAGTGGCTGGGGTACCTGCAGGCTGAGGTTTCACTATCACTGAGGGGGTAGATGGGACTCCTCGGCGGGGAGAGAACTGGAGGTGGAGAGACTGACTGAGACCTGGGGGCAAAAAGAAAAAAGGGAAAAAACAAAATGGCAGTGAGTAGCCTAACAACCAGAGGCATCATGTTTTATTCTTAGAGAGCTCAGCATCTCTCTCCTGTAGGATTCTAAAGCTAAAAAATACTCTCTTCAAGCAATATACCCTCAAAAGGCTGTCCTCAAGGAGAGAAATAGCTCCTTAACCACAGCGGGCCAAACTCAACGGGCCTCTCTACCCAACTGATCCCCTGAATAATGTCTGGAACAAAAGCCTGTTCTGTGACTGTTTCAAGAGTCTAAGACCAGTGGAGTCCTGAGAAATGCTTAACAGCCAGCTCTCTCGGGGAGATGGCATAGATTGGTAGCACTTGCCAATTTCCATAGCATAAATATTCCTACTATAGCTGAGCTGCCAATGTGACATCATTGAATGCGGAGTTCAGAAGAGATGCTAATGACCAACTCTCACGAGCTGGTACAGGCAGCGCTAGCACGCTGCTTCCTGAAGGAGCCCTAGATATGTACAATCAAACCCTTTAATCTTTCCCCTTAACAAGGCCCTATCGCCCCTGAAACTTCTGCTACTGGACACAAGATCTTGCTTCCTCAGCTTGGGTGCTGACCAGAATTAGGATCCTTTAGAGCCTCAAAAAGGTCAGAAGGGCCCCTCAGCAAAGAGTCCTCTTCACTCTCTCCATGAGGAGGCTAACGGAGAGGGAGACCAATTCCTCATGAGGCTCTGCTCTCCAGCAGGGTCGTTACATCCAATGAGCGTCAGCCATTTCCCAGCTCTAAATCCATAAACAGATCTTAGCAAATACAGAAACAGTTCTAAATAAATGTTTTTACGTATATTAACTCATTTAACCTTCACAAAAATTCTGTAAGGTTATTATCGTTTTTCTATGACATGTATTTTACAAATGAAAAACACTAAGGCAAAGAGAGGTTAAATATCTCATCTAAGGTCACTCAGCTGGTAAGTGATGCCAGGACATGAACTTACACTATGCTGGGTTGCCTTTCTAAAGAAGAAGCAGTGCCTGTGCTATCTTTGTGAACCACCCAGACCCTAGGCAGAAATCTCCACAGCACTGGGCAAACTCCTGTCTAGAACTTAGCATTTAAAAGTATGACAGACCTCTTAGTCTTCCCTACCAGATCATGATTTCTTTTTAGGTCATGGGACACACAGTCAGCATCTGGAAGATGCTCAGAGAATGATGAGCAAAAAAAGGAAAAGGTACAGGTGAGTTTACTGAAGAGAACCATAAGCATAATTCCTCTTCAGCACACATATCTACTAGTCTATTAAGCTAATCACTCTCAACTTTCAGAATTTTTTCCAGTTTTAGTTCAAAGACAGCAGATTTTTCCCAACACTGCTTGCTACCAAGGCCTACCTGACCCTAATGCCATGGCCCTCAACACTGGGCTGTCCAGCCTTGCAGGCTCCAGAGTGCCATGCCATCCCCAAGAAGGCAGCCAGCTGCCCCTGAGCCAGGCTGCTGTCACCACTTGATCACACAGAGAAAACTGGAGCTCGGGTGAGTCAGGGATTGGCCAACAATTCCCCATGGGGTCACAAGCTTCTGGCTGCCCCCAATCAACAGGAAACCTCAACATGCTTAAGTTGTTTTTAAAAGGGCAAGTCAAACAAGAGCTATCCCATGTGTACATGGGCACAGATGAGAAATTCAGTGCCCAGCCAAGCCAATGACTAAAGAGACTCTGCTCAGTGAGGAGGTGTGAACAGAATAAGCCCTAGGGTAGGCAGCAGCAGGGCAATGTGCCAGGCTTGAGCCTGGGGAGATCCCAACCTACTCACAATTGACAGAGGCCCTAGGTCTCTCTTATTTATTTTACAGAACCATAGAAGCAAAAGGTTGTCAGCCCAGTCCCCTAACCAAATGATTCCCTTTGCTACACTAAGGACTTTCAGCTGTTTTCAACTGCAGGTAAGAAAAGATGCATTTAATAAAGGACCATATCATTGGTTTATGCATTCAACAAATACTTAGTGAGCACCTACTATGTGCTAGGCCCTGTTCTAGGTGCTGGATACAAGACTAAAGAAAACAGATAAAAATGCATGTCTTCACGAAATGTTTAAATTCTAGTGGGCGATGACAGGTACCTAATGAGACTCAAAATCTCTTGGGAAGCCTTTTTAAACCACACATGTCTCACCCGCTGACATTTTGATATATGCTCCCCTAAGTATGTGTCTCCCCAATTCCCAAGGTGAGAATTCACTGGTTCATGGAACCACTGTTATTTATGGTGGTATGGGGCATGGCTCCCACAGGTGGGCAGAAAAACGGTTGAGCATCTCTGGTCCATCTGATTCCAGCATGCTTTCAGAAAGAATGATTCCATAACTTCCCTTAGTGGTTCCAGCAAGAATAAATCCCTACAGGTTAAGAAATTTCTCTCAATGCCTAGGCTGCTTTAACTGAGGTTTTATTTTTCTCCTCTTGTGAAGCACAAAACAGAGAGCAGACTGGCCCTTTCCTTTTAAGATCCTGTCTTTGGTATCACTGCTGATGTGGGCTGATGGCTCCAAGTGCTGCTGCCCAGCCTCCCCACACAGGCCAGGCCCCGTGCACTCTACCAAGAAGGGCCTGCCTATGCTGACCTGGAGCCCGGGCACCCCTAGGCTCATCACAGAGAAGGTGGCACTCATTCACTTGCTCTGCGCTCTTGGGGATAACTGGTGAACAGTATAGATAAGGCCCTGCCCTCATGGGGTTGACAGTCTCACTTGAGGGTAAAATTCACTGCTATCTCTCTATACGTTCCTGAGTCTACCTCTTATTAGGAATGTACTCACTCTGAGCATCCCAGTTTCATTTCCTAAAAGTTGTTTTACATTTTATATCACATGGTTGTCATAACAGACAAACTAGACTATGGATATAAAATGTTAATCATCGTTAGTATTTTTTTTTTACTAGGTTTGCTAGGCTAGTCATTCTCAATAGAGGGTAAGAATATCACAGCCTAAGAACATGATTCAGCATAACCACATACAAACCACAGGACTTTAAGCAAGTAACTTTCTCTCTCTAAGCCTCAGTTTTCTTAACTATAAAATGGAGGTTAAAAGACTACATATCTCAGAGGATTGTTATGAGAAACAGAAATAATACACATCAAATGTCGAGCTTGGTATCTAGCACATAGTGCTCAATCTTAGCTTCATAACTGCTAATATTAACAATGGGATGGGTTATTCAGAATCATTACCTGGGAAACCTTGTCAGTTTACTTCTGTCCTTGGATTCTAAATGGCAGGGGCAATAAATTAAATATGGCCATGAATTCTTTGCAACCCATGCTATGGAAAGGTAGATGGAGTCTATTCTCCTGCCCCTTGAATCTGAGTTGACCTTGTGATTTGCTTTGACCAATAGAATATGGTGATTGAAATTAAAAGTTGTCTGAATTCCAAACTTGAGGTCTCAAGAGGCCTTGCAGTTTCTCCCTTTAACACCTGGAATGCTTCCCTGGGACTGTCACATAAGGAAGCCATTGTAGTCTTATAGAGGATGAAAGGCCACGAGGACCACGCTGAAGCACCTCAGTCAACAGCCAGCCTCAAACTGCCTGACCCGTGAGTGAGGCCGTCTTGGAAACAGCTGAACCCAGCTACATGAGTGAGCCCAGGGGAAATTAGCAGATGAACTGCCCAGAAAACCCACAGAAATGTGAGAAATAATAATTTGTTTTAAGCCACTAAATTTTAGTGTGGTTTGCTATATTGTAGTAGTAAAATGATGCAAGTGGGAAAGGCCAGGGTTGCATATAATTGGCCAGCCCCATCCCAGTGCAGAAGCACTGCCTGGGCCTTCCATCTCCACACCTCTCTCCTCCACTTCCCCACAGTCCAGCTTCCATGACATTTGGACTGGATCTGTCTCACTACTACAGGCTCTGATTCCCTACTAGGAACATTCCCTGAAAATGGAGCTAGTTCTGTAATCCCAAGAATGAGCCTCCATCAGTCCTTGCTCCCAAGTGGAGGGAGGGCTCAGGAGAACTATCACCTAGAGAGCAGGGAGGCTTCAGGGGGGACAAAATGGGGGCCAGGTGTCAGGATGCTTGGATCTTTGTGATAATGAGTTTACATAACACCTGGTGTCTCTTGGCATGGATGGAAGAGAATACTCACTCTTGGGCTTCACGTTAACTCTCTCTAGTTGTTCCCTACTTCCTCAAACAGACAGGAAGTGAAAATAAGATAATTCTCCCCCGTTGGATGATAGGAAACTACGGCCAAGAGAATGGCAGTGCCTGAATCCCAGCTGCCTCAGGAAGCACCACCTAAGCAAAGCCTTCTTTTGGGTCTGGGCACCCAATTCTGCCACTGACAGTCTCTTGTTTCATATCTTCAGGGTTCCCAGGACAGCTCCTTGCTAACCTTGTCTGAACCTCAACAAAGGAAGCCACCTATCACCTAGACCACAATGTGCCAGCCCTACCAGGCTTGAAACACTCTTTGGCTCTCTACCTATTCAACCAGTGTATACTGAGCACCCAATATATTCCAGGCACTGTTTTAGGCATTAAGGATCAGCAGAGACTAAAAATAGATGTCTCTTTTTCTATAGGTTACATTCTAGTGGAGGGACACAGTGTTGCTTTATTTGTTTTGGAGTGAGCAGACAATCAACCCTGTGAGACTGTTACAGAGTCAACAAAGATGAATAAAGGAGGGCAAAGGGATAAGAGATTAACAATGGGGATAAGTGACTCTTTTATGTAGGGAGATCAGGGAAGGCCCTCTGCCAGGGTAACATGTGCCCCTAACCTGAAGGAAGTGAGCAATGTGTTTATCCAGGGGAATGATGTTCCAGGCAGAAAGAGCAGTAGGGCAAAGGCTTGAAACAACTATATACCTACTGTATTCCAGGGGCAACAAGAAGGCCAATGTGGCCAGAGCAGAGGGAGAAGAGGAAGAGTGGGCTGGAGATGAGTCGCACAGACACCAAAGGCCACATCACAGAAGACCCCAT